TCGGCTCGTGCCGAGCGTTCAGGCAGCAAATCTCGGCACGTGCCTAGTTTCGGTTCCAAGCATCCATCGGGACAGAGATTGAGTTCTTTTCGGCACGTGCCGACTCGGTCCCGAGTCTCGGCACGTGCCGAGATCTCTAACGTGAACGCCACTATAGTGATACTGAATTAAAATTTCAATAAAAATACAGTGCTGTTTATGTTATATAAGCATAAAGAAAAGGTTTCCCATGACTTCTGGTGTTGTCCCCGGGATTGCTTGCTTTCCCTTTAACCTTTTCACCACCAGACTTTCTTGCCCAAATTTTTCTTAAGTTTTTTTTAATAATTTTAGAGCCAGCAGACAAAATTTGAGTCAATTTTCAGTTTTTACTCAAAAATATTTCCATTTTTGTTCTAATCCTCTGAAGGAAAGAGCAGACTATAAATGGGACTATTTTGTGAATTTGTGATGAAAAGAGAACTGGTGGTAAAGTGTATAGAAGCACAGTAAAATAGAGAATACATGTATCTGTCTGTCTGTCTGTCTGTGCCTTAGAGGGTGGTGACTGTCTGCTGTATACGTGGTATTCTCTAAGACAAGCCTACGTCACAAACTGGTCAAAATCCCCTAAACATTGCCAGCAACCAATCACAGACTAGCTTAAACAATAGCTTTCCCTGACGATAATACTTAGCAACGTTATTTCCCCCGCGCTAACTTGAAAAATCTTTTGTTTTTGTCTCGTTTCCGTTCCGATCTGTCTTAGAGAATAAGACCTATATCAAACATGTCATGACAATCACTGCCCACAGGAATACTGTAACATTTCTTTAAGTGCACCAAGACAATTGCCTTTCAAGCATTTATGTAGTTCAAACCTTACAATTACAAGCAGACTCATCAGTTGTGATAATTAAATTTAATAATAAAAGCACTGTGATGTTCTGAACTAAGTTACTCATTACGCCGAGTTTAGCTATTGATATTTAAAAATATATTTTTCATCTTCAGAATAGGCATGCCATGCCTATAACATTACGATTAATACACAACGTTTGATAATACATTAATTTTTTTTAAATCTGAAAGAACAGAATGAGTTTGACCATTTTGAAATTAAAATCGACAGGCAACTTCAGCAACAGCCACAAAATAGTTTGATTTATATTCTACTTTTGTCTCACAAGAAATGAGAAGCAATATTTATCTGTTTGGTCCGGAATTAAGATTGAATTTAGTGAAAATTACAGAAAATGTGAACCAATTTTTTCAAATTTAAGGAGAAAAAAATTTGGAGATAAAGAGTTATTATAGGTAATGTGACAATAAGGAACCCCTCCTCATAAATCATGAACAAATTGATGCTTTACCTCAACAAACCATGAAGAATATGATGTTTCTTCCCTGGTTTTTATAAGACAAAAATGAAAATGTCAAACTGCCATTGCTGACAAGGTACTAATTTAGGACAAAACAGGATTCAATGGTCAAGAACAATAGCAATGATAGATGTAAAACACTGTTTTTGAACCTGTATTACAACTGGTCACAATAAAAAGCAAATTTAATGTAAATTTAAATAATAGATCAATGTGCAAGGAGGGAAATGGATCCTGAACATTTTGGTCACAAAACACACAATATGTAGTATCACAGGCTTAGGCAACAACAAAAAATAAAAATGTTTCAGGTCAGCCTCTTTTTCAAAATCAACACAATCAGAATTTT